TGCAAGTCATGTTTTATGAACTGTGCGTAGAATCAGTTCAGTCTCATTACATTCTTCGTGTAACATCATCACCATTATTATTATTATTATTATCACTGAACTACAGGTTTTTAATGTTATGTAATATTGTTAACGGACATGTTATAAATGATCACTTTAAAATGTACATATTTTTCTAGTAATTTTCAACCAAATGACAAAATTTTAATCAATAACAATGAAGGAAAATTAGTAAGCTATGTCAGTTTATTTAAAGTATATCATACTTCTTTCTGAAAAAATTAATAGAATGGAACTGAAGTATAAGGGAAAAAAAGGTCAACATGGAACAAAATTTTATTAAGAAAACAATAATAATGATAATAATAATAATGAACTTCACATTTTGTACGTGATAAAAAAAACTTGATAGAATCATCACTACTATTAATGTTATCGAAAGTATTATAAATAATTATTCATGTTAAATTATTATCGGTCAATGAAAAATAAAAAAAACGACAACTGATAATCACTTCAGCATTAATTCATAAGGCATGAAACCTTTCATAAATTATCACTCTGATATACTATTATTACTTTTTATTACTTTACCCTATTACTCCTACTACTCCTACTACTACTAATTCGACCACTCTTACTATTGCTATCACTACTTTTCCTATTATTATTAATAATAATATTCGAAGTCCTAATGATATTAATGACAGTAATAATTAGAAATGAAATTTATGAATAATAATTAGACTATTTTAAACTTGAAATAATCCTGACTTAAATAGATAACTAGAAACATAAAACAGGTCATAGAATTTATTAGATTAAATTAAACTTTAAAATTACTGCATTAACTAAATAACTAACTAATTGATAGTATTTGACTCTGAGAAAAAAAGACGCAAACATTTTTACAAACTCTACAAGTGTCTTCAATAAATTATAATGTTTATCTGTTAAGTAAGCCACTTGCTGGCACATCTTGGGATAATCGAGTAAGCAATTCTATAGTTAAGAAACGGGTCCTAGGTAAGGATGGCAGGTCAACAGATGAAGTATTCAGATTTCATCAGTTAAGGTGATTGGGGAATGTGTTACGAATGCCCAACCACCGACTGCCACGACAAGCTATGTTTTGTGGTGTAGGAGTAGGTTGGAAGAAATCTACGGTCGGCCAAACCAAAACATGGCATAAACCCATGAAGTCACTGATAAGTGGACTGAGTTATGTTGGTAGATGCAGGCTACCCGGTTGGGGTCCGCAGGATGATAATGATTGATGGTTAGAGACCCTGAATGACATGGCTCAAAACCGTTTGCAATGGCTCAGGTTCATTCACTCTTTGTGTTATGTGAAATCCTAATCCTCTGGATTCTTCGTCACAATTATCTTCCTCCTTTTAAGTTTATTTCACTAGATTCTACTTCTTGAATAATATCTTCGAACCTTGACTGCATTTCTTTACCACAGAGTACACATTATTCGGTTATCACATTTGTAAACAATGTTCCTCGTTTTTCATAAGACAATACTTCCTTACATAGTATTTACTTGATACTATACAATATATTGTTTGTTATGAAACACTGTGCAGTAAAAACAGTGATAAAAAGTAAATTAGTATTCTGTCGACTAGTTCTTTGAAATAATATAAGTAAAACAGTTAAATGGAAGTTTTTCAATACATCTTACCTAGTTTAAAATAAAACTAGTAGCAATTTTCATAAAGCATAGTTAGGAAGTGATTTTTGTGATCTTATAACATGTACTGTGACTAGATCTAATATGAATAAGCTCTGACAACTTTTTCACTAAGTCACCATCTTAAAATTTCGTTAAGATTGTAAAGAATATTTATCTTTTTGAACTAAGAAATGTAGCTTATTTAGTTACAGCGAAAAAAACATCATATTTTTGCTGGTATTTTGTCTGGAAAAAACACTCAAAACATGGAAATGTCATGACAAATAACATTGTCGAATGAATGAACCAAGAAAACCAGAAGTTAACAAAATGCTGAAACATGTATGATGTGCTTAAGGTTGGGTCGGAAAATACAAAACACTGAAGGAAATCAATGAAATCTGAAGCTGTTACCACTCAGTTATGATCAATGTAAGAATAGATGGGATGTTTCTATAGTATCATGATAATATCAAGTAACCTCTTTCAGTTAACATGATAAACATTGAATAAAATGTGTTAAATAACTATTTAAATAGGACTGTTACTAACTATTATTCGCATGTTTCTACAGTCAAATATTTTGTTAACTATTTCATGTTTGTTTAAATAATCTATTTGAAAAAAAATATTATCAATGAATCGGCTAAAGTTCTGTTGATCGAAATGAAATAAGATGTAAACAATTTGTCAAATATTATCATAAACTTTCTTATTTGTTTACAAAAGCAATTAATATAATCTAAATTTTTTCTTTGATTTCTTATGCTTATCTATAAAAATAGATGTACAACATATTGATACTTTTATCGCGAAGAAACATCAAATTGTTTTTAACCATTAAAACAATTTACACTTAGAAATTAACTCTGATTTAATTCATTAAATCACATTGTTTGTGGAGAGTGACCTTTTGTGCAACTTGCAACGAACGAATTACAGCTGATGAAACGTTGAAAAGCATAAATAAAATGACATTCTGCTTAGAAATGAAATAGCAAGCGTTCTATTTAGAAGCTGTCGCGTGTTAAAAATGATCTCGCGTGCTGTTACAGGTATGAGGGAGGATGTCACTTCGCGGCTGCTCACAGCGTGGGAGGGTGTTTCTTGAGGAACCTGAAAAGGAAGGTAGATTACCGCTGGTCTTAACGACGTGAGAGCGTGACTGTAGAGTCCAAAGAACAACCACTTGAGGCCGGTCTCGCACTTCCTTTTTATGAAACGTTTTTTGAGTGTTAGCTCCGCTCTTAAAAGCCATTAGTGGGAAACCCTTACCGCCGGAGACGGAAATCCGTGAAAATGAAATGCGACTAAAAATCAATTTAAATTTAACTTAGTAAACCGTACCAAAAACTTTTTCGAATAGATAAAAAGGTGTTTCCCGTTGTTTAACTTAGTAAGACAGTTGATGGTTTACCACTACTTTACTTTGAGTAAATGGGCCAGAATTCAGCGTCAAAATATTTTTAGTTGTTGGAATTCTCAGTAGAATGGAATTATCATGTTTGCTGATCACTCGAAATACGATGTTTCATGTCAATTGTTTAGTAAATGATGCATAAGAGAATTATTTCTACTACTTTTTTTACCTCTGTGACTTACATATTTTGTTGAATACTGAATATACCTTGTATACGATAATGTTTTATTCATGTAGCGTCAATTGATATTTGATACGGAATTCTTGTTTTGTTAAAATTTCAGAAAATTACTAATCGCATGATATTTCATTTATTCTATCTCTGTCGTGTACAAGTTTTATATAAAAAATCAACTGCTGCTTCAGTGGATGAAATTCACCAGAACTAAATAAACTGAAGTTATTATTTGTCAGTTATTAAATAATCTGCTAATGTATGTTGACAAGTCCCTGAATAATCTCAGAATAATCTAATCTAAGTGGTTACAAGACTAGATTACTCAAAATCGTATCATTTTGTAGTTAATCGGTAATGTTTAGTGACAAATACTTAAACGTTTTGGAGGTAAACACAGTTATTTCCTGAGTACTTTCAGACAACAGCTTCACCAAAGTATAGGTTTTTTTACTAATATTCATGAAGTGTATAAAACTGTTTGAATGTTGATTGCATAATTAAGTCAGTAATAAAACACTTTATCTTTTATATGGTTGAAATCACGAATTGATTTAAGCTAGACCACCTGGAGTCACTTAACGGCCATTTCATACTAGTGTGGGGCTAATCATTGGTCTAGAGGTTAAGTGTCTAGGTGCGGGACCGAAGATTCTAGGTTTCATTTGCACATGCAGGGCTCGTGGATGCGCATTGCTGATGAGCCACATACTACAACGAAACGGTTGCTCAGTATTTCCAGGTTTTCCAAAGATGGTTTAGCTCAAATCAGTTCATGATTTCTGCCATAAATGTAATACAATCCCCACAAATCGCCTCCATTATTTATTATATTACCTAAGAATATAAAAGTATAATAAACACTAAAACGAATAAACGTTCTTATCTGTACATATTTGAATCACTGTGTATAGCTTTTATTTGTTTATGCACATTTAAATTCTAAATATAAAAATATATAATGTTTTTTAATGTATTTCTTGTTTATTAGAGTACCGTTTGTACTTAGTCAAGAAATATAAAAATTAGTTCAGACCAACATTTGGACAGACTGGTATACATGAATTTTATTAGTTTAATGTGATCTTATTATGAAACGTATTTTATAACTAGACTATAATATTTATTTTAATAACTATACGCTTTGTGATGAGTATCATCCTTCATAGATTATAAATTATGATATTTTTTTCTTTCAGGAGTATTTTATTTTGTTTTAGTGAATAAATATTTATTTATTTTATTGAATAAAGTAATTCTAAAAGTTTTGATATATTGTAAATTAGATTTTAAAAACGTGTGAAATTAATTTCTTACTGATTTCAACTCATGATAACATCTTTTTAGAAAGAAAAGTAGATTGTTTTAAAAGTTATTCGCGTATTCGACAGATATAAGTATTGAGTAAAGTACTCGGCTGATGGAAATTTATACAGAAGTAATAAAATAAACGACATTTATCAGTGATTTAGCCTTATCTATAATTTTAGATAAAATAAAAGTAAAATAATATATTTAATGTTTACAGTAGTCTAGTTTCTCCTTCCATTAAAATTGATTTTGCAGTTAACCTGTTAACATTATTTCTCAGAGGATATTTAGACAATGTGAATTTATTCTCTGATTTCCAACTGTCTATCTTATTACCACCACAAAGAACATAATTAATTGTGTTTAATAGCGATTGTAATTTTCATAACGATATTTTCTTTTAATTTGTTTAGGACAATATGATCTACAAATAATGAATGTAGAATTATCCGATGAAGGTTCCTATGTGTGCCAAGTGAATTTTATGCGGCAACAATATTTAAGTCAAACAGCTGTATTAACAGTACAAGGTAAGTAGATGAACTGGTCTCAATATTATTCAGTTTCTTGAAAATTTATTTTACAAATTTTATTTTAAAATCATTTTTCTGACTTATAATTAATAACTTACAATATACCAATTGAAATATAATAAAATTTCGAAAAAATTCAATTAACAATAACTGTTAACATCTTATCTATAACTTGATACAAGCGACTTTTTCCCCAGTGAAATTACATTACTTGTGTATGCTTAACTCATTCGTCGTGAATGTTATTGATGTGAAATTTCCTACTCATAGGAATATTAAAGATGTGTTGAATTTCGTGAACAACACTGTATCCAAAATTTTCAAGTCTCTAATTATGCTTAGTCGATAAATATGAGACTGCTGTAGCCTGAAACACAACTATAAATTTAATTTAAAAACAAATCACTACACTGATTGAAATCGATGTTCATGTTGTTTAAAAGCAGTTAATCAGAAGCCTTGAGGTAGACTCCTTTATTTTTCTTAACACGGACGAATATTGCGTCGGACTATCTGCTTAACTTCGATCTAAAATGAGAAACACAACATTTCCGAACTCATTATTTAGTGACCAGCTAATTCACATATTTAGATCTCACGCCAAGCAATCAGTTTTATTTGACAAATTCGTGATTACTATCCTTGAAATGATGTATATTCTTTAGAAAAGTTCATCTGGTACATCTAATTACTTTACAGTAATATAAATCCTCTAAGTAACATTTAGTTTTCATAACCTTCTGCAGACTTTCAGCCAATACTTATGAAAGTTGGATTACATTTTATAATAGTTGTAAAGTGGCTTGTTTGTGAAATTTAGTAACTATACAACTGCCTAATCATAAAGCATATTAAGTTTTAAACTATACTACTTAACATTTTCTTCATAATGTTCATAAAATTTGTAAATATTCTTATGGGTTAAAAACATGGCTGCATGTATGCATATATTGTTTTTCATCAATACGCTACATTTAATTTCAGTTCAAGGCTATTGGAAGAATAATCAGTTTGACCTAAAAGCATTTTATTGATAGCTAACTTGTCAAGAGATATGACAACAAAATCATTTCTATCCAACGTTGAAATTGACGGAATACAATAGACACTTTTTTTATAATAATAATAATGGCAACATTGTTTTGTGAAGTTTTTCCACTGGCAATTTAACGAATGAACTGTTTTAATACAGTTAAATGTGTATTGATGATTATTAAGTCATTGGTGTCAACATTTAAATCTAAAATAAATACAGCATTCATAAATAAATCAGGAGTGTCAGGTTGTTTTATGATTTAAGAGAAGTGTAGGTCACTAAACATGACTTTAACATTTAGGATTGTTATAACCGTAATGGATGGTTGGTTTATCCGAATAGACCAAACCCAGTGCTTGGCTTTTTAAGGTCTACAAGTTGATTTTCAACACAAACAAAGACGCGATTCCATTTGATTAGCTTTTGAAAAGGAAGAAATATTAAGTGTGATGAATTATTATTAGTTTTTAAATTAACTACGTGTTTATAAATAACGATCTGAATAATAGTAATTATTATCATTATTATTATTATAAGGATGGTAATGTTTTGGTAATTATTCATTAACAGAACACAATTATGGAACAGAGTGAACGACCATTTAGTGTTCAGTTAAACTGATAAAATTATAACTAAAAAATGAATAAAAAATAATAGTGATTTATGTAAATGGGGTCACTTTTGTTCAAATCGTAAACAAGATAGACTATCAATTTCAATATTCAAAAATGTTAAATCCTTCCATTATTTGAGAAACATAGTGTTCTGTTTATCGATTGAAGTATGATGCCACTAAATGTATTTTGCTTTAACAAATGATAAAGAATAATATTTTAAGTACTTTATTTGTATGCTCATAGATAAACCGTGGTTAACTTAACCTAGCGATATTGTTAGCAGCTTAACTAATTTATTATTACTGAATTCGAATGAATCCACCTTCATGTATGTTGACGATGTATGTCGATCAATAAAAGTGGCTGTAGTAATTGATCATTGAAAGAAAATTGTATTATCTGAGTAATTGTTTTAAATATCTTAATCAAATTATTTTCTTTGACTACATTCACTATCTTTTAGAAAACAACAGGTGCTATATTTCTTTTTGAACAGAAAATGTGAACAGCGATAGAACTATCACAGTTCAGAATTGTTCAACCTTGTGTTTGAACTGTCAAATAATTAGTGAAATAGTCCAATTTCGAATGCTGTTGCCATTTTCTCATAACTAAACTAGATTTGTTTATTAAAAGCAGATTAGTGAACATTTTTTTCACACTAATAAACCCGAAAAAATAAATGCATAAAACTAGCCAAAAAAATATTAACACAGAAAATAACTAATTTATTTTTTATGATTAATGACAATAACACATTTTACATTTCCATGTACTAATCAAAGTGAGAAAATTCAAAAAAAGTATTTACATTTTACAAACTGTGATACATTTCATAGGACGCCTGAATTTTCGAAAAATTTTAAAGCGTCTAGATAATGTTTTTTTTGGCTAAAATAAGATTATTAGCAACAGCGAACATGATACTGAAATATTATTAAGAATTATTTATGGCGGTAGGTGATTCATCTTTCTGGTTATTCACTTCCACAATCCAATTCTCTCATCTCTATAGACATTGAAATGTTTAAATGCGTATACATAAATAAAGTGACATTTTAACAGATAAGAACTCTTATTGTTCAGATAAATAAGAACAGGAAATAAGTAATAATATCGAGAAGTATCGACGCAGAAGAAAATTAACATGGTTGAAACGATATACTAAATGATCTATAAAGCGAAAGAATACTTCACTTCGATAATTCATGTATTTTCATTTTTCATCAGTGATTCTCAAAAAAAGAAAACAGTTGACATAAAAACGCAAAGTTTCAATTTTAACATTTTTGACAATTGTAACAAAAATTTGCTGAATGAAAAATCCTTCATGCAGTAGATAATTTATGATGATATGTTATGGAATGTTTGATTTTGTATGTGGTTTGGTTGTAATTTGACAAATAACAAAATTTTTGTTTTTATTGTAATGAGTTAAGGAGTTATTGATTTTCGATCGATTCGTTTGTTGAGATGATCTTGAAGGTAATGATAAATGATACACAATAATACCGTACATAACTTTTTTATATATAGAACCATGTTCAATCAACTCCCAGTATAACTGACTATTAAAAGGTAGATAAAATACCTGACATAAAGAAAAATCTAAAATTTGAGCCGATGGGGATTATAAAGCTTTTTAAAATGGAAGATTCAATATTGTTAAAGACGTAATTCATAGTAACTGATAAATATTGTAATTTTTTATTTTGAGTTAAGGGGACTAGTGTTTTTACATATTGAAATCATCATTCAGTCATTGTTATACCACCATTAGAAAGCTGGAAGCACTGGATGGCCGTTCCATCCTGATATGGGACTCATCAGTGGTGCACGTCCATGACTCTTGCATAACTATTTAAATTTTTCAAGTTCTTCAGCAGGATAGTAGTAAATTTGATAGTCCACTGCTTTTACATAATATGGGTAAATACAATAACTGTCCTTGTATGTTTAATGATTTTATAATACATTAACTCTATAGAAGAAATGAGTAATGTCTATTTTAAAGAATAATAAAATGCCTAATCAGAATAATATATCCATAATCAGGCGTGTTTTTGTTGTCACTGAAAACCAAGGAGACTAAATTCAACTATACACCCTATATAACTGATGTATACAGTTGATAATCAAATCTTATGAGATATAATAGATGTTTCATAGTTTTATTTCCTTAGAAGAGATTTTACTCACCGATGATATCAAGTTCTGAAACTAAATCACATGTGTATAGTAACTACAAGGAATGGACACAAACAAATTTTTCCGTTAAGAAAGAGTGATACATTCATCCAGAATGAAATCCGAAAAAAATCACTGGGTATCAAAGTTTACAATATTCTGATATAATGAGACTTATCATTTGCATGCATCCTAATAGAAATTTTAGTCGCCATCTTATTATCTAATAATAAAAAAAAGATATTCAGAGTCCATTTCAACAATCTATGGATCCATAATGCTTTACGACTATTTTAAACTCAAAAATGCTTAAAGATATTTGTCATCACTTTAGACAATTAAAATGATCTCAGATTGTAACAGTCAACTACTGTGTTAGATTTGTAACCACGATAACAGATCTGTGAAAGTTAAAATAACTTGAATAACTAGGGTAAACCGTTCAGATTCAACCAGATGTTTCATTATTGTTGGAGACTTAAGTGTGTCCTCTTGTTGCCACAAGTTCCCTTGATGTCACCTTTACATTAACTTCGAAATCTTTTTTTCTTAAACTGACAAATTTAATGTTCATTTAGAGCTAAAGTTTTGTGTTTTAGAAACTGAAATTCAAAAAATTTATCGAAATATAAAAATAGTATATTTATTAGTCATTTGGTTTTAATGTCTTACAAATGATATTTAAATGCTTACAATATTTGACCGTTTGTTCTCATTGTAGTTTTGATAAATTTCAAAATATTCTTTAAAAAATTAAAGCGTTTGTTAATGTACAATGAAATTTAATCAGTCAAAGCATCAGTTCACTGAACATCATCCTATCAAGCTTGACATCTAACTCACAATGTTTTTTTTTCATAGAACTGATATTAGTAATTAAAAAGGCTGATAGGAACGAAACTTTTACAGTCATACTCTTCATGAATATTCATCACTTGAATAGTTATACTCTGGTTGCTTTTGTTAATTTACTGTGCGTTAGCACGCTAGCAAAAGGAATCTCTATGAAAAGAATAATATGTCATGTATGAAAGTTACTATTGTGTTACATCCGTCCATTTAAAACAACCAAACAAGCATTGGAAAATTAATTTTTGAAACATTGATTAAGGTCTCACAGGATTTTGTGAGACCATTTAAAATTAGTAAGACTTTCC